CAGATTATCAGCTTCTGTTTGTGCATCGATCTCTCATATCCTGCCACACAATCCCCTGCACTGATTCATTCATTCTTTCAGCAGCAGTTCATTGTTCATCCAGCTCTACATGGCAGACACATAGTTGTGTTTAATGATGCCTTTTGTTAGATTTCTAAGCCCCTGATTAATCACTTTTACTTACATCAACAAATAGACTGTAGATGTACCGTGGACTCTAGCCAGGATACCTGGGCAAGGGATGATAACACACACCCCTAACTCTTCAGGCCTCTGAGACACTACAGAGCATCCTCTTCCCCACCAGAAGGGCTGATAAAAAACAGCACTTAAGTCCCAAAAGTCAGCACCTTCTGTGCATCAAGATGTCACTGGAGAGCCATGGGTTTTCCCACCTTCCATGGAATTGTTCTGGTCATGTGAAACTACAAAGATCAAGCTTTAAACAACCACTGGATCCAAAGAATGCCTTGGCTTTTGCCCTTCCCTTTATGAAATAAAGGCTTCTTTACTTTGAGCTGTTATATTACTCAATGCCTGCCTTAGACACACGCACTCTCTCCCACAAAACAGGCTCATGGGGAAAAGTAATGGGAAGCAGAAGTACACTAATGTGATCTGAACTGGAGCTAACCTTGTTTGTGTGCAGGGCTGATGATGGAAGGGGTTGTCACTGCAGGAGAGATAGGAAAGCAGAATGGACACGTGGTGATAACAACAGGCTGCAGTTCCCGGGGCTCCCAGCTCCAGAGCAATATACCATTGTCCACGCTCAGCAGAACCTCAGATCCAACCAGAGGGAGGGAAACAGGAGCTCAGGTAAAGCAGTTTAAGAGAAGAGGAGATGTAAAGTCACCCCTCATCCTGGCACTAAAGCCAGTATCACCAGAGAGAGGCTGAGGAACACCAGGGAGTGAGAAAGGCATCTGGTGGGAGACTCAAGAAACCTGCTCTGGTGGAAACTTCCAACCAACTTTTAGGCAAGTTCACAGTATTGCCTGAGGAACTATCTAGTAGGAAACAGTATATGTAGTGGTTAAAGCAAGAGCTTGAAAACCAACAACGTGTAAAGTTCCATTCCCAACCCTGACAACTGTTTGATGCACAACTTCAAACAATGAACTCCTCCGTGTTTCAGCTTTCTCGCATGCACAAGTACAACCCATAACTCATGAAGGATGTTGTAACCCTTAAATGCTGGCAAAGTGTTTGTGGCATCCTTGCACTCTTGCCGTTACTGCTCACGCGGGCAGAGTCTGGGAGTTGCAGGAAGTTGTGAAAAATGAAATCTTCCAGCTGAAGAGGTTGCTGAAATTAGGCTTTTTCAACGTCTCCCATGAGTGGACAACGCCAGAGGCCCCCCCCCACCCCCCCAAGCGCATCTTGTTGATGAAAACAAAAAATAAGTCATGCATTTCTAATGACCTCCATCATGACATTCAACTTTCTTTCCTTTCAGGTTCCCATCTCAAGCATGTACAGCACACTGTGTTTGGGTGTTAAGAGACTCTCTAGAGAGCTCTTAAGAGACTTCCTCATGCCCTACCAAAAACACAATCCAACCCACAGCAGAAACACACACGGCTGTGGAGCACCTGAACCAGGCAGCGCAGCTCCTGCATCAGGGAAGGTCTGGACGACCAGATGTTGCCACTCCCCAAAGCCGGGAGTGACAGCTGTGGCGACAAGGTGCCATGTGCCCAAACCTCACCGGCAAAGGCCCGGCAGACACCCCAGCAGGGCAAGAGCTCACCACCTCCCCGTGGGGTGGACCTCTGGCCGAAACAGCCATCCATCCATCCATATATCCATCGCGACACCGAGCAATCACTGCCACGGCCGCTCCTCGGGTGGGGGGGGGACACGGGGCCAAGGGCGACCCCTCGAGCAGCTCAAACCCGCGCACCGCCCGCAGCTCGCCGGGTTCTGAAAGCCCCGCTTTCCATAAAGGAGAAGCGTTTTTTTTTTTTTTTCCCTGAAGAACAGCGCTGTTCGCTAAAGGAGCCCGGGCACAGCCGGGATTTGCCGCAGCCGGCCCGGCGGAGCCCCCCCAGCACCGGGAGACCCCCGCGGCCGCGGGCAGCGCTGCTCCGCTCCCAGCCCCGCTCCCCTCGCCCCCATCCCGGCGCTCACCTGTGCTGGTGCCCGCCGTGCCCGGGGGGTCCCCGGGGGCTCCCGGGCGCTCCCGCGCTCCCGGCCCGGCCCCGCCGCCGGCACCGCCCCGGCACCGCCTGCAAAGGGGCGTCGGGCACCGGCTGAGAAAGGGCCGCCCACCGGGTCCGCCCCGGCCCCCTCTTCCCCCCTCAGCTCCCCGGAACCCCCGCGGGGCCGTGCGGGGGCCGCGCTGGCCCCGCTGCGCTCCGGGGATGCGCCGGTGCGGGGTGAACCCGTCCCGGGTCCCGCAGCCTCAGAGCCCCGCAGCGCTCAGCGCCCTGCGAGCCGCTCCCCCGCGGGAAGGGCAGCGCGGGGGGCCGGAGGGGGCCGGCGGGAGGCACCGAGCCTGGCAGCCGAGCACGGAGGGTGTCCGGAGCGTGACATGGCTGCCACCCTCCTGCCGCAGCGCCGCGTCCCCGAACCGCACTGGCTGTCACGGAGAGCGGCTGCGGGGCCGTGCGGCACCGCGGCAACCAGGGCAGGTCCTCCACACACGTGTGCGTGTAAAACTACTCACACGGCAGATGTAAAACGCCTTGGGATTCACTGCTTCCCTGGGAAAAGCCCTTCTCTGACAAGCCCAGCCGTGCAACTGTTCTTCCTTCATCCGAAAAAGTGTTGTGCAATAAGGATGGGGAAGACCCCAAATCCCAAAGGGGAATCAAGGGGATTTGAGGATGAGCACAAACACCTCCAAGGCAGGCAAGGTACCCCTGGCTCCGAGGTAGGGGTACCTGCTGGTGTTCCACTAGCACCTGTAATCACGGGAGTGGGAACAAGCACTCCTTTATATGCTGAATGCCAAGGATGTAAAGGGTTACCCACCCATTTTTTTTCTCCCTCCAACCTGTTGTACAGGTCCCTTGGCCGCAGAGGAAACCCACCCAGGCACCAGCCCACGGTGGAAGGGCCCATCCCACCAGCACAGCACCCCAAGCTGCCCCAAGGCTCGGGACTCCTCACACACCCTGAGGGCCTCAAGCACCCTTTGCACAGAGCAGCTCTCCCCGTTTGGCGCTGGGAACCACTGGTTCCAAAGCAGCAGCAGATGGGGATCTGAAATGTTTCCTTCTAGTGTTCAAAGACAATCGTTCCTCTCTGTCTCATTAATTTTTCAGCAGCAATTAGATACCCAAAGACCATTTGTTCATTTGAAAAAAAAAAAAATCTTTCTTTCTTCACACGTCTCCTCTGAAGCGCCCACCGTACTTCGGGTCACAAATGAGAAAAGATTGTGAATGTGGATTTGTGATTGTAATTATTTCAACTGCCACCCACGGAAACAAACAATCCTGGTAGAGGACGTGGTTGGTGCTACTGTGTCACCCTGACTAGTCCTGCAGTTTTATGACTCCTGGAATCACCATTTTTCCTAAAGCTTCTGCTGCTGGAGGCACATGATTAAGGTATAAATTCTTTTTTTTTTTTTTTCCATGTTATCATCCAAGAAAATCTCATTATTCTTGCATTCTGACTCATTTTTTTCCCTGAACATAACTAGTTGGCAACACAGATATCTTGCCATCAGTACAAAATGTGACTGCTGAAACATTTGTTCTTCGACTCCATTTGAATCTACTATCGTGTCTCCATGTGACCTTTTAACGCTCAGAAATTGTCTATTTTAAATCATCAGCCCTGACATGTGTTGAAGATATTTTTAACAGACTGTTTACAGGAATTCTGGTTTCTGTTCTGCAATTTTTTTTCCCCCTTTTCAACAGCTTTTCTATTCACCATCTCCAAGTTGCACATGTGATCCTGTACTGAACACTGACAGGGCATTTGCCCACCTGGTCTGTGAGAAGCTGGACATCAGAAACTGTCAGAAAGGGGAAAAAGGACCTGAAAGTCAGAAAAATAGCTTGCAACCTGGTAGATTTAAGATCCAAGACCTCCAGGAAGAACAGAAGGGAAGGGTAGGTAGTTGTTCTTCCTCGTGTTACTGAGAACCAAACAATGCTGATGCGTGTGAAAGAGAACACTGGTGAGAAGGGCAAGTGGCATCCACGTGGCATTATTCCAAATGCACCCAGTGTGAGGGACGTGCAAGGCACGCCAGTTCACAGAGACCACCTCTGCTGCATGCCAGTCTGGTTTCAATTTACCCAGGGCTGTTCCTAAAACTCTGCAAGGTTGGTTTTGTGTGCCCAGCTCTCGGGTTCTCTCGGCACACGGTGCCACGTGCTCCACGGCACTTCATGTGGTGAGTTTGCCAGAAACACCATTCCCCGCTCCTGCTGAGTCAGGGGGATGCCATGTCCTGCCTGGGGAAGATGCAGACCCCAGCCTAGGATTCACCACTGTCACACCAGCAAGAAATGTAACTGATATCCCTAGTCTAGATGAGACAGCTGGTCAGCTCTCGGAGGAACAACAGCGGGAGAAAGAAGAGGATGAGGACAACAAACGTAACCACAACACCTTGGTGTTTACAGGAACACCCAGCAAGGACACTTCCAACTGCCAGGGGAGCACCTGGAGAGACAAACACCCTGCCCTCCCTCCTGGGTCCCAGGCCATTCACGTCAGGAACGCAGAGATGCTGGTAAATTTCGTGAATAGTAACGCTCTCCGAAGCTGCATTCACCGCTTCCACACACGGGGCTAGAAGTCACCTCTCTCATCCTCCCCTTTCTGGAGCAGGGGGTAAACAAACAAACCAACCAAGGCACCGAACTGGCTGCATTTCTCTGTGCCACAAGGCAAACAGGAAGCCCCAGCAGCTCTAGGAGAGTGGGGGCTCTTTGCTCCATGTGGTTAACGCGACTCGGCAGCGGGAAACCGCGCCTGGCTGCAGCTCTGCCGCGCCGCTCCAGCACGGCTGGGAACCTGCTCTTATATTCAAAAGGCAGAGGAGGGGTTGAGTTTGTTATTTTTTGGTTTGGTTGTTGTTTTGTTGGTTGTTTTTTGGTTTTTTTTTTTTTGGCAAGGAGATCTGAAATAGGATGACAGCCACACGAAGGGTGCAGCGCTGATCCAGCTGTCAGCGGGGAGCAGAGAGCTCACCTGTGTGAGAGCAGCCACAGGACACATCCTTCACTGAGAAAAGCCCCTGGTCAAACCAAACTGCTTCAAGATTTGACTATCAGTTTCTTTTTGCATGTTACAACACAAAAGCTCTCTGTGCTGGAGCATAACAACACTACACTGCTGCAGGCTCTTGGGATTTCTTTAAACACACACACACACATATATATATATATTTGGGGCACACAGCAATGTGCACACTGAAGGGACAGGAGGGATACCAGGATGAACTGCACAAAGTCTTAACAGCACCTCACAGCCTCCAACCTCTGTACACATTCATTTTCATGTTTTGAGCTTTCCAGTTCTTCACTTCAAATAGTCAGAGCTGCCACAGCCTTACAAATTCCAAGGAACTTCACAAACAACTTAATACCACTGTATTTTACAGATATTTATTTGAGTAGGACAGAACATAAAAGGTGAGGGGAGGACTTGATGTTCTTCACTTTGAAAATCAGTGCTAATGCTCCGAGGAAAACGTTGACTACTCTAAACCAACTGCAGATCCCAAACCTTTGTCGGGGAAATTCAGATATGAAGTCACAATTTTAATGTCAAGCCCCATATGACTGTTCCTAGAGCAGTCAACAGCGTGGTGGGACATGAGAGATAACACATACAAACTACTCAGCTTGCCAGAAGGATTATCAAAGCAAACACTCATCCCGGGGAAATCGAGCTCTGATCTAGCAGTGATGCGACAGCACCAACCTAATTTGACATAAATTCTTGTTTTATAGGAACACAGCACTACTAACAATAAATAATAAATAGTAAATGTTGCTGATACGTTCAGAACTCACACACTTTCATTTGTACTGCTGAAAACACTTCAACAGCATGCACTGTAAACTCTGTGTGCCTCTGGCTCCACAAGGCTGGCCTGTCCCCAACTAAGGACCAGGCAGGGGATGAACACCAGGTGAGGATATTTAGGGGAACAAACCCCAAAGCATCACAAGCACAAACATCCTTAACCAACCCCAAGCAGATTCTGTTTCCCTCTATTCCTCATCTCTGCCCAGGTAACCTTGTCAGGAGGACATTTCTCGGAAGACAAACGTGACAGTTATTTCAAAGCTCAGACTTCGGGCCAGCTGAGGGCACGGTGGTTATAGCATGAGTTGTTTTCCTTTCAAGAACAAGGCCACAGTTTGCTTGTTGATGTTGCCACAAGAGAGATTGCAGGGGCTAAAACCACGGCAAAGCCTCAGCGTGTTTTTTCCCTTTGATGGACATGCATTCAAATAAAAATGCCATTAAGCAAAGTTTTTCCCTGAGTTGAGCTGTTGGTGAATTATTAGGGGGTGGCATTCAAGGACCTGAGCAGCCTGTTCAAAAAGCCTGTGAAACAGTGGCAAGCCAAAATGACAGAGAGAAGGGAGAACAATGACAAAAGATACTCTGCTCTCTTGCTGAAGGCCAGAGTGGCCTAATTTGGTGTCCTTGCCCAGATAAAAATACTGTTTTCTTTGTGTGACTATGCATTCAAATGAAGGATACTGCAGACTGGAGAACAGTGCATTCCTCCATGACTTCCCCATAAATGTCTGCGGAGGAGAAAAGTACCAAGAACTGACCCAGGTTAGCTGCAGTGAGCAGCTGAGATTCCCATCTTGATCATCAGCAACACCACAGGACTTGTACAGGAGAAAAGTCCCTGCAGGCAGTTCTGCTACAGAATTATCAAAATGAACCTCCTTGGTCGTTTCTTTATCAGAATTTCCAAGTTAGAACCTCTGCCCAGGACAAATTATTGTGTTAAGGAACAAAGCACACTCTGTTTAGTGCTGGTGTTGCAAGCAGCACATCATCCCAGAGAAGAGTGGAAGGTGTTAGTCAAATGTGAGATGGGAGGAGAGGCTGCTGACCCAGTTCTGCAAGATACCTGAGGCTACAGTTAAGTCGGGGGGATGCAGGGTGAGTTACTGATGCAAAAACGTAGGACAGAATGTGTTTTGGGGGAAAAACCCCACAAACACAAACCAACACCAGCAAAAATCCCCAGCAAAATCTGCTGCAAAAGCCCAAGGCTCTCAAGGACCAGGACCTGGAGTGAAGGTGTTCATGGTCTGCTCCTCACACCATGCTGATGCTGTG